TCTCTCACACACACACACACACACACACACACACTCCAGGTAGGGGAATACAACATATAGCCACTGGAGGACAGCAGAGAGCCAGGAGCAGATGCAGTGATACCTCTTGCATTGACAATTTAGAACAGCTATTCATTCAGAAGATTCTGTGGTCAGTTATTTCACCCCTGAGCCAGGTTCCCACTTAATTACAGAAAAAAAAAATACTTAAGTGCTTTCCACAAAAGAGGATTAGAATGTAGTCCTCTGGTGCATTGTGATACTGGTAGGAAGTTTGAGATGCTGAATGAACAAGCGATGTAGAAAAATGGAAACATAAGGGCTTGGTAATCAGACAAATGTTGATCTACATAACAAATAACAAATATGTGTGTGTGGGGGGGGTGTGTGGTCAATTAATTATAAACACCACTGTACTAAGACCAGCCAACAAATAAACATGTCTTGAATGCCTGCTACACACTATGTATTCAGCTTGACTTTGGAAATAGGAAGATATAATGAAGTTCAAAGTTTGAACACAGAAGTGGAATAAAAAAAAGAAATAGTAAAGGTAAATGCTCATGGATGTAAAGACGTGGCCTACAAATACTTTTAGTTCTAATTTGAACAGAGTAGAATTTTAAGCCTTCTGTGAAACTGTTACTCAAAATATTAATGCTTAACAGATATAGGAAGGATAGAAAGGAACAATAAAAACCTTCATGAAAAGAAGTAAAGTATAATGGAAAATAGTGTGTATCTGGAAGCAGAACCAGAACCAGTATTATAAAACCCATTCAAGATATTAAGAGGAAAGTTAGGCCAACAGCAAAGAAGGCTGAGGCAGGAGGATGGTGAGTTCAAAGCTATCCTCCCCAACTTAGCAAGGCCCTAAGCAACTCAGTGAGAACCTGCCTCAAAATAAAATACAAAAATGGACTTGGGATGTGGCTCAGTGGTTTAGTACCCCTGAGTTCAATCCCAAGTACCCAAACAAACAAACAAAATGTAACAAAATTCTGGATTTATCTTTAATATTGTTGGTGACATTCCAGAAAATTGAATTAGTAAATTAGGGCCAATACAAGAGTATTTCTCCTTCAATCAGATGTTAGAAGGCAAGAAAATGAAAGTAGTAGGGGAAGACTTACTCTTTCACAAGTTTGACATGGAAAGGGAAGAGCTAAATAAGATTACAGAAGGAATGACATTTTCAGAAAAGAAAGAGAACATTTATGAAACTTGGATTTGTTCATTGGTAAGATGTGTGATAAAAACTTGAAAAAAATTAACCTTGAATTTGTTGTAGAAATAACCACAGCCAAAACCAAAGCAGAAGCACAAAGTGCTTTGTGTTTAGAACCCCAAATAACACATTGGAACCCTGTGCTAAAATCATCCCTGTGGAATCATATTATTATGAGGACTGTCTTGTATTTTCCGTATCTAACTGGATAGAGTTCAAAATGGGTCAGGGTTGTGCAGAGTTCCAAGCTGTTGTATTTTACAGTAATCAAAAAATAATAATTTCAAGTCCTAATTGTGTTTGGTGAGTTGGATGCAGTCCAACTAAGAAATATGTTGGTACAATACACTGCATTTATTTCATTAGGCTGCTGCATCTTATAAAAATGATATATTGCATTTATATACAAGGGTTGTTTTTTTCCCTGTATAATTCTAAGCACTACATCTTTCTCTGGAAGTTCTACTTATGAACTCTCACAATACTCTTCATGGGAGAAGTTAGTAGATATTATTTACTTTTTTTTCTTTCTCTCTCTCTCTCTCTCTCTCTCTCTCTCTCTCTCTCTTTCTGGCAAGAGTACCAAGCAGGAATGCAATGTTTGTAATAACATGACTACTAGATGCGTTTCAGCTCTATTAATGAGACAGAATTAGTATTTCTAGTGTCTGCAGAAAACATGAAAAATTAGAATATCTAGCACACGTGTTAATATGTAGTAAACTATGGGGAACAAGATCGTGTGCTTATGACTTCTGTACAATCTGTACATATCACAGGGAAGATCTGAGGAGGCCTAAGCTGACCAAAGTGAGAGGAAAACTGTGGTGTTGAAACAGTGTCATAATACACCAAATTCCATGCTTGTACTTGCCAGATTTTGTAAACAGAAATATGTAATGAAAAATCCAAGGAAGATTTTGAACCAGTGACTGGCATACAAAAGAATATTTGAGGCAAATGCTCATAAACATAAACACTAAATAATTTTAGTCTTACTGTGGTTATGGTAGAAGATTAGAAGAACTAATCTGAATATTCAATACTTTCAGTTATATGTACATTCAAATGCATGTGTTGGCTTATTTCCAGGAGTGCTGAAGAGATGATAGGAAAGGGTACTAAAATGAGTGATGTATTTGGCAACTCTTACTTTCCTATGAGTCTAAATGGCTTAATTATCAGGAAAAATATTAAATATTTAGATTACAGGTTATCTCATATATCAGGCAAAGAAAATATGAAGAACTATATGTCATACCCTTGCCATTCATGTGGGCATTTGAAATTTATTTGTTATTTTGAAGTAGCTTTGATAGCAAGAAAGTCTCAGTGGTATAAATAACTCACCTATATATAGATACTCAGTAACTCTTTTGCCCAATAAAAATTCATCAGATATTAAGTAGAAATTTTAAAGGAGTTTTGAAGTTTGGGAAGGGTGTACTCAACTTCACCATCAAATCTGTTTTATATTCAGCATTATATTACAGTGTTCAGTCTTCTCCTTCAAAATCCATTGACTTTTCTCTGAAAAAATCCATTCTTCATACTTTGACCACTCTATATCATTTTAGATAACCACCTATTTCCATAACAGAAAAGATGACAAAAGTGTGGTAACCATTAAATTTTAAACAAAAGCAGTGCTTATGATATAAAGGAGAATTTTAAAAATCAAACTTAATTCTCCAAAAATAAAACAGTGGTATATTTTATTAGAGAACTATTTTTTTTTGTATCATCAATACTCTGGTATTATCCTAAATATTGGATAAAACAGAGGATCATCTTTGTGTGTCTCAAAATTTAATAGGGCTATGCTTCAAACTTTTATCTGATTCAGTACAAATTCCACTAATAATATGAAATTGGTTCCAAAATCACTTAAAAAGTGATCAAATAACAAATATAAAATATTAGCACTCACAATCCATAACTCTACTCACTTTTTTGGTAATGTATTTTGGAAAATTACATTAATTATGACCATTGAAAAAGTGAAATTGACTGTTATAATCATCAGAATCACTAAGTTGATGAGCATATAGTTCTATTAAGAGATATTTTAAAATATTCTGCAATTAGTAATCTGACCTCTATGAAGGTAGATTATTTATTTCCCAACTGAATGTACAAATGGCTCTATGTACATGTTTAAGCTAGCAATCCTGATTATTTATACAAAAAAAAACGTTCAAAACAGTTCAATCATTTTCTGGAAACAAAGCAACCACAGCCAAATAGCAAGAGTGTTAATTCACTTGAATCTTTGTATTTATAAAAGCTTTTACATTTTATATAACTAAGAAGAAAATATATCATATATTCAGAGGAGAAATTCTCCGTACTGCCTGTTAATGAGAGACATGTGGATTGAAGTGTTTTTTCAAACTTCATTTGGGTTAATCATAATATATTTTTTGAAAATATATTCATATTTTTAAATATGAACAAATGTGGGAAAATGTGGGACTTGCAAATGTAGAATTTTGATTGCTTCATTTTGGATTGCTGATAAAAATAGAATTTCTATCCACAAAAGTATTATTGCATACTAAAAACTACAAATGACCATGTAGTCTGATTGATATGTAGACAGCAAAATAGTTAATTTTTTTATGTAATTTCAAAATGAGAAAATTTGAACTGTTCAAAAAATTCATCCATTCAACCAAAAAAGTTAAAGTGTGTGTGTGTGTGTGTGTGTGTGTGTGTGTGTAACAATTAGGACATAAGATATTTAGACATAAGAACAGTACTGGCAAAAATTATATCCAGGGCTCAGATGCTATTGGTTATTAAATGCACATTTACTTATGAGTGTGTTAATTTATTCTCAGGAGTTCTGAGAAGAAGGTAGGAAAAGATGATAAAAAACTGAATGGATTTGGCAAGTATTGTTTTTCCCATCAATATAAAGGTTTAATTATATTATATATATCCATTAATTTTTTCTTTCCTAAATTCCATAGTAAACACTGGGTCAGGTTCTCAAAATAACTTCTCCCAAGTGCTTCAGGAAGAAAACAGACAACAGATATCTTGCAGATACCACCCACACAATCAACTTCTCATCTGTTATACATTTGCCTATGTTTGCAGGAGATTGTATGGAATCGATATTGTCTTTCCTAAATGTGTGGTAGAATTTGCCAGAGGAGCCAAATAGACTTCAGTGTTATTTGTTGGACATCTTATACTATGAATTCAATTTCTTTGGCTAGAATAAATTATTTAGGCTAACTATTTCTTCTTGAGAGAGGTTGGGTAGTGTATGTCTTTCAAAGAATGTCATTATTTTATCTACTTGTCAAATCTGTGAGCAAAGAGTTCTTTGCAGTATTTATATTCTTGTGTTTCCAATGGGTATAATTTTGTCACCCCTTTCATTCCTAATATTTGTAATTTATGTCATTTTATTCTTGTTCACTAGACTACCAATTTTTTTAAAAAAACAACTTTTGGGTTTTTTTTTGTTTTGTGTATTATTTTTCTAGTTTTACTTTTAGATTTTTTATTTTTTCTAATTGTTTTTATCCTTTTATTTGTTTGGGGTATGAAATCCCTTTTTTTCTTCTGCTCCCAGAAATTGTATACTCTCAAACTACTACGTAGAATCATTAGCAACTTATTCAATTATTTAATCTGAATTCTCCTTACCCATTCATATGACTCCCAGTTTCTTATACCTCTTCTGCTGAACTTGAGGGACTATCTTTTCTTAGATTTCATCCTATTTGGTCACTTTGCAACCTCAGTTCCCTGATAGGTTCAAGAAAGATATAATTTGGTTGTTTCTCTGTCTTTTTTTTTCTATTGTTGGTGTAGGAATAATAATAATTTTGATTTTCACTATATAAGGCAGGCCCACAATCCTTCCTGTCCTCTTATTTTCAGTTACCATTTGCCTAATTGATTTTTATCCATCATTTACACATCTTCTTGTTTTCCTGTAAATATGCTTTGGTAAGACAAAAATATTTGTAAATGCCTCCCTTTATTCTCCACCTCAATTCAGTGGAATTTTGAGTGATTTTTATCTACTTTCTAAAAGCTTGACTTTTCATAGGAGCCAAATATGTCAATTAGGTTTAGATATCTTAATTGGATGAATTTATATTTACCAGAATTTAGAATTTCCTCTATCTCTGCCTACTTTCCAGTGCTAATATGATTTTTTTCCTTTAAAACAAAATATTGGTTATTTCAATTGTTACCTTACCCTGAATCTGATGTACTGATTGATGTAGGCATCTATGTGTATATACATACATATTTGTGAATACCTATAATGTTTGCAATTTCACAAGCACTTATTAAGTATCTCTGATATGTTAGGTATAAGACATTCAAATATAATTGTTTTTAGAGATCTTTAATAGAGTTTATTTAACTCAATATGGTTAAAATGTAGAAGGACCTGAAAATACAAAGATGGGAAAACTTATGTTAAACAGAGAAAATATACATTGGCTCTAATGGTATTTGTTTCCAAAATGATGACTACTCTTCTGACACAAAATGACAATAAGTTTGTTCTCTTTAAACTCAAAACAATGAGAAAATCCTATATATGTATTATGAAGTTTTTGATCCAGTTTTTGATTCAGTTTTCCCTCTGAATCACTAAAGTCAAAACAAGTTATTGGACTGGAATTAATTCAAATAAGCTAAAAATTAGAATTTGTAATTGGGTAGCTTCACTTTTAATTTTTGTTACTTTTCTTCATACTCTAAATAGCATGAGTTCCTAATATGTGTGGAATAGAATGAAAAACCCCCAAAAATCTGATCCCAATTCTATCGCTGATTAACCTCAATGAATGTTATGGTATGGTATTGTGTTCTCCTATGTCTGTATGTATTGATACATTCTGAAGAAATAACAAATAAATCTCTTGAAAATTTTAATTATTTATTTTATCTTATTTTTCAGTAGAAGCATGTTATATTGTATATGCTTACACTTATCCATTGCATAATGTAAAATATACTGAATTTGGAATACTAGGTGAAAATTCCAGCTCTATCACTAACTATATGACCTAAAGTGAGCACTTTAAATCATCCCAGCCTCCATTTCCCTTCTGTAAGGGAACAATAGTGCCTCCCCTACCTGACTGTCATGGTCATTGTTTAGATAAAGCTTGATGTAGAACAAAAGCCCTTCACTATAAATCAGAGCACTTATATTTAATTTCCAACTTTGTCATTGATGTTTTCAGAATCTTAAATACATCCCTTCCCTGACCTCTTCCTCAGTTTGATCACCTGTAAATGGGCAGCTGAACCAAGATATCTCATTGCTCTTTAGTATTTATTTATTAATTTGATTTTAAATTAATTTTAGCCTTAGAGCAATTATACAGAATAGTAAAAATATCTCCCATATGATTTTACTCTCATTTACCATTTTTAACGTTTTGCCACAATGGTTTTATTAGTCTATAATATGTACATGTATATATTTATATCTATGTAAATTATATATATTATTTTATGTGCCATTTGAGAAGGCTACACACATAATTCCTACTTAACCATTTATACTTTGTATGCTTCCTAAGATATAAAGTTTATTTTAATTTTACTAAATTCTTCACATTTTTAATGTTTTATTTAACTATAAACAATATACAAAATGATGTACTGTGAAATCTTTTAAAGCATCATGAAAATTACAAATTATTTTTATTAAGAAACTAAACCAAGAATATTATATAAAAGTGCTATTATGGAACTGTTTTCATAGAATTTGGAACATCATAACTAGAATATATCTTGATGAAAATATAATGACTTACATTTTTATTTTTACAAGTTATAGAAATATATGTACAATTTCTAGGAGCCTCAGGAGTAATAATTTAGACTACTCCATTGAGAATATTGCATCAAATTATGCATCAAATCAATCCAATAAAATTTAAATTAATGAAATAAAATGTATTTTAATAACACTGGGTAAAATATGTATAAAAATAAGAAATGGTCATTCTTAAGAATTAGTTTCTGAGATTTTGTTCTATTCCAGCAGCATTATTTTCATGCAAACTTACTTTCATACATTAAGGGTATAGAATATATTAAATGCAGTATTCTTTTAAACAAAATATTTCCAATTGCAAAGCACATTCATTTCGGATATTAAAAGTCAGCTAATGAAGAAAGAGATTTGTGGATGCTGCTCCTTCCCATTCATCAATCAGAAAATATGTATCCATGTTTGGGAGAGTGAGATGATATTTCTCTGAGTAAAAGTCATGTTGGAGGCAGAGGTAGATTAAGCAGCAGCTCCTGTGACTGAGTTAACTTTCGAGAATCTGCTAAATCTTTGAATATTATACTCCAACTTAAAATAAAGAACATGTGTAAAAAGTTCTTTGATATAAAGAGAGCCACTAAGGATAGAACAGGAAGGAAGAGCATGAGGAAAAGACTAACAGTAAACTAAGACGAATGGGGGGAGAGAAAGGAAGAGAGAAGGGAAAACATATGGAAATGGTAGGAGACCTTCAGTGATACACAAAATTATAAGAGGTTATGAGGGGCAAGGTGGTGGGGGGAAAAAATAAAGGGGAGAGAATTGAACAACAGCAGAGGAGGTAGAGAGGGAAGATGGGAGGGGAGGGGAGGGGAGGGGGGATAGTAGGGGATAGGAAAGGTAGCAGAATACAACAGTCACTAATATGCCATTATGTAAAAATGTGAGTATGTAACAGAAGTGAGTCTGTAGTATGTATTTGGGGAGTTCAAAACCCAATTGAGTCGAATGTATGAAAGATGATATGTCTTGAGCTCTGTAATGTTTTGAACAATCAATAAAAAAAAAAAAATAAATAAATAAATAAAAAAAAAAAAAAAAAAAAAAAGTTCATTTGCAAGGGCACAATACCTGAATTACTTGTTGGGAGTGATCTACTCCAATAGAGAAAGAAAATACACCTACTACTCCTCCACTTCTCCCAGGATGCAAATTTTGCTTTGACTATTGTTTCCCTTCAGTTGCCATAGAGAATGATCGCAGAGGTTGCTAAGGTCTCTAGGAATAAAAGAGATTTCTTTTTTAAACAAATCTCTATTTCTGAAGAACAATGCTACGTGCACAATATGGTAATTTGAAGCTTTCAGGATTTGGATCATTATGATTTCTTGGAACATATATGCAAAGCTCTTTAACTGAAGGATTTTCCCCAAAAGCTCTGTAATTGTTTTTATACTGGATGATTTAGTACTTTACATAACAAATTGCAGAAATTTTATTTCTAAGGGTAAAACCACATCAGGTTTTTCCCATCCCGCAAGCTCCAGCCATAATGCCTCATCTTCCATGGAGTGGTTTTTATTTTGAAAAATATAGCTACTGCAGTATTTAATCTGCACCTCTAATAAGACTCCAATTGCTTCCTGTATGATAGCATGTTAATTTGTCTGCATTATTTATCTCTTTGTATGGTTTAGATGTGAGGTACACCACAGAAGCTCATGTGAGACACAGTGCAAGAATATTCAGCAGTGAGATGATCTGATCAGGAAAGCTGTAACCCTAACCTAAGCAATGGTTCAATCCACTGGTACGGATTAACTGGGTGGTAGTTGCAGACAGGGAGGGACTGGAGGAAGTCAGTCACTGGGGACATGGCTTTAGGTTTATATTTTGTCTCTGAGGGTGGACATTCTCTCTACTTCCTAGTTGTCATGTCCTGAGCTGTTTTCTTCTGCCACACCTTTCTGCCATGATGTTCTGCCCTACTTTGTGTCCAGAGCTATGGAGTCAGGACTGAAGCTCTAAAAACATGAGCCAAAATAAGCTTTTTCTCCTCTAAGTTGTTCTCATTGGGTCTTTTGGTCACTATGAAGCCAATTTGACTAAAACACTAGTCCTCTTTCATAAAAAAAAGGACCCTGACTTAATTAATTTGAAATTTTCACAAGTTTTTAAAAAGTATTCAGCAAATAAGTGTGAAATAAAGTATGATCCTTTTAAAATCACAAAACAGAACATCTTTTAACACACTTTTAAACATCTTTTAAACATACATTTTTTAACACATAGTCAAATTTCTTTTTTCTCTTTGTTCTGCCTCCCTTTAACAAAATTTCAGAAGTTTAAAGAACAGATAACAATACCCTTTATACCACTTAACACTTTTGAGATTTCTCCTTTAGAGTTATTGGTAAAATCATTAGAAGAAATATACAAAATGAGAATTTAACAAATAAAAAATTATTGTTTTCAATATTTCCAAGTCAGATAATAAAAGAATGTATTAACAGCTTGTTAATTCTTATCATCTTTCATTAAATTACACTTTTTTATTTTCACAGAAAATATAATCAACCCATAAGATTTACTCCTGAGCTGCATAAAATGAAAATAAAGAAGAATTTGTTTGATAACACAAATGAGGACACATGCTCAGGATTTCATGTTGTGCATTGTCCTGTATTCATGGACATATTCATGCTTGTAGAAAAATGTAATCTGAAAGACCTGTTCTGAAAGGCCTCACAGTCTCAGATGTCAAATAAAATGTATTAAAATTTTAATTACATTGTTCTACAAGCATTAAAAATTTTTAATTTAGATGATATGTAAACTGCATAATGTAGAAATTCTCATGGCCAAATCTTCTAGGAAGCACCAAAAGTATCCCTTCTCCTGCAGAACTGAAACATTGATTTAAAGAGAAAATTGGCTGTTCAATTAAAAGCTATAGTTCTCAGGTAATTACCAAGAAGTGTAGTCATATAACTAACCTCAGACATATAAAGGGACAGAGAATAATAAATGCAACATTTAGGATTTAGCCTTGAAAAGAAAAAGGTGTGCCATTCTCCTCTTTACCTCTAATCTGCTCTAGGAAAATGAATATGTTATCTGAAGTAAAATTTGGAACTTGAGGCCAAAGGTTATAATACCTAAATTATGGAGAGAAAGCTGAAAACAATCTAAGTCCTAGATAAGTATAAACCTCTAAGCTGCCTCCATTCTGGTCTTACTTTTTATTTTACATTAAAAGAAATAAACTCATATGTGACTCAATGAACGTTCTTTTTATTTATTTTTATGTTTTAAATTTACATTTGAGTTGATTTTGGAGTCACATGCATTGCACAACTTAATACAGAGAAATCTCATAAACCCTCCAGCCATTTTTCCTCAGTGGGACATCTTGCAAAGCTATAGCACAAAATCACAAGAAGGAAATTGCAACTTTGTTATAGGTCTCTGTTACAAACTTTTCTAATGAATTAATATTTATTTGGCATACACAAAATTTGGGTCTCTATTTTGAACTTCAACTTAACATAAGTTCCAGTTGTTATACTTCCTAGTACAAATTACTTAGAAATGGTGTATAATGTATAATTCAGTCCTTTAAAAGCATAATTGTTTCTGTATAACTGTCCAGAACCACCACAGATTAAAGGCAAAGAGGGAACACCAAACTAGGATGTTAAGCTCTGTAACTGATAAAAGCAAAGAGAACATAAAATCAGGATATTAAACTCTGTAACTGAAGCAGAACAGGCCTGAGGTGGAGGTAGGAATGTGCCAATCTCTTTAAATAATGAAAGGAAGGCTTATGGCCAAGTCAGAGCTGAAGATGTGGCCTCTGGACCTCAAAAACTGGACAGCAGCTCTTCCTGGGTGAAAGATAATCACAATTAACTAATGCAGGAGTGATACCCAGGACAGAAAAGAAATATTCCTGTGTAAATACATAATTAACTCCGCTACTTATCCCGTCTGAGGTTCACATTTTTACTGTTTGGATCCACCATACATCCAAAGTATAAAATATTCACATTAAAAAATTGGTTCAGGATAGTGATACTACTGAGGCTTTCAGAATAGTTACTTGGGTCCTTTCAAAAGGAGCGTATTCTCAAGCCAGGACCCATGGAATTCTTCCCAAACAACAGCTCACAATTTCAAAAGAACAAAGTACATGAGGAATCAGCCACGAGCAAGAGGAGGCAGAAACAAATCAACAAAGGTGAGATTCTTTTCATTTTTAATTTCTAAGGGCTACTGTAATAAATTACCACTAGGATGGTGGCTTAAAACAAGAGAAATTTGTTCTCCCTCAGTTTTGAAGGCCAGAAGTCTAAAGTTGTAGGCAGGGCTATACTCCCTCTAAAAGGAGAAGCCAGATCAACCTACTCTCTGTCCTCCCCATCTC